GACCATGAAAGGTAAATGTTTTGAATTCATTCAGGACTTCGAGACAGCCAGGACAGTGCAACTAAAGACACTTATGAAAGAAGACTTCCAGAACTGCTTCAGAAAGTGGCAAGAGTGATGAGATAAGTGTGTTTGAAGTGAGAGGGAATATTTTGAGGGGGCTTAATGTCAAATGCCTTACTGTAATAATTTTTTTTTTAAATTTAAACATTCACTGTATTGTTTGACCACACCTCGTACCTTTTAAATTGGGGCAAAAAATACACACCAGCATTTCAGGGTTGCTCTTTTTCTATTTTACTTTTCTAAGACTGCTTATTAATCTCTATTCTTCAGAAAAATATTAAGGCAAAAGTAAATCTTTCATAATATTTACTAAAATTTAAACAGTGGTTGTAGGGGATAGAATTATAGGAGACTTGTAAGTTGTACATTTCTATAATGTTTGAGGTTTGAGGTTTTATTGTTTTCATTTTTTTGGTTTGTTTTTGTTTTTGTTTTCAAAACAGCACGTTTTATTTTTATCATCGGAAAGCCAAATAATTCAGAAAGAAAACAAAAACAATTTTAAGTGATAAATCTTCCAGAAATGTGTGTGGTTAGCCAGCAAAGGGGTTACTAAAGAGTATGGCAAAACAAAAGCATATTATTCAGTTTCGCAATTTTTATTTATTTTCCAATTACTTATATGTAAAGTATTTGAAGCATGTTTGAGCGTGCATTTCAGCAGTGCAGCATGCTCACTGCAATGTTCAAAAGAAATCCAGTTTTCCTGGGGAATACTGTTAATTTTCTAAATATAAATCTTACCCATCTGGCAGAGAAGTGTTTAAGACTGGAGTTTTATGTGCATTGTGCCATTTCAACTAGAAAGACAAATATATTTCATTACAAACAGATCAACTCATAGATATTTCACCCATTTCCATTAATTAGTAGTCAGATGTATTTAAGATAACAAATATATGTATACTGGTTCTGTGGAAGTCATTGGCCTTGCACCCTTCTATATAATAACTTATGAGGAAAAGAATGATTCGATATGCAAAACAAAACTTGTATTTTTAATGGCTTTTTCTTTTTAATTTCCCTCATTGTGTCTAAAATGTCAGTGTAGTTGGAGAAAAACATAGTTATAAAATTAAATTTTATTGCAAGAAAAAAACGTGGGAATTGGATTTTTTCAACCTTTTTACTTTACAGATACAGTATTTTAAAAATACTCTTTAGTAAGTGATCTTTGGTAGTAAAGCGATTTTTGAACTCAGGTCTGCTGACTTCCAATGCTCTGTTCTGTATCATTCCTTCTACACTGTACTGATTCTCA